AAATAATCGGCCGATTCATCGATTTTTAAAATAATCGTTAGTTGCAGCCCTAGACTAAACCAGATTTATGTGTTGCCAAAACCTATCCAGCTCCTGTTTGTGAAACTTTATTCTCTCACATCTTGTTCTGTTGCAGATTGAAGTAAAATAGTATCTGGGTTTTCTGTGTTTCACAGGTGGATGCAGAGAAAAGGCTTGAAGAGCAGCGAAACTTTGGTGTTTTCTTCGATGATGATTACGACTACCTGCAGCACCTGAAGGAGGCATCGGGTCCCTCAGAGCTGGTAGCCACTGGACCCTCCTACCCTGACAGGGGATCCTGTGATCTCAGAGACGAAGAGGAGGAGGAGGAGAAGGAGAAAGAGGTAGAAGCTGTGAGTAAGGAGCTTCCTGTGAGTTTGTAAAATAAATGTTGTTTAATAGATTTTATTTTACAAACTCCGGACCCAGCAGACAGTCGCTTTATAAAAAAATGTAATGAAATTAAAACCCTTCAGTACCTCAGAGCTGCTCCTCTGCATCAGAACCATGTTTTGATTCCTGTTTGGTTTGAACAGGAAGCTACGCTCCACCTGCCGTCTTCAGTGTTTGCCTCCGAGTTTGAAGAAGATGTTGGACTTCTGAACAAAGCTGCTCCTGTTTCAGGTATTTCAAACAAAAACAGACCAGATTTTAGATTGTGGCAAAAAATCATCGACCATAGTTGCTGATTTTTGATGATTCATTTAATCTGTTTAAACATATTTCTGTGAAAAAAAATAAACAAAGTCTGATTAATTTAGATGTATTGTTCTCTTTCATAAATCTTTATTTATCACCTCAGGACCTCGGCTGGACATGGATCCTGATATTGTTGCAGCTTTAGATGAAGACTTCGATTTTGACGACCCCGACAACATTCTGGAGGACGACTTCATCCTCAAAGCAAACTGCACAGACAGAGCTTTGGATGCAGAGTAAGAGGAGAGATTTGGAAACCAAAGCAGTTTCCATGATTTTAGGTTGATTCAGGTCTGGATCCGTTCAGAATAAAGATATCTGATGGTTATTTTAACTTTGGGAAACTACTCATTCTATTCAAGATCATATTTTAGGTTTTGATTCAACTTCTTGAGGCGTCTCCATTTCAAACTGAAAACGTTGATATTTTTAAACTTAAAGTTCCTACACAGCTCTGAAAGGTTTGAAATAGGAAACGTTTCCTAGGGTCAAATGAAAATATTATAAACTTATTAAACACTTTATGCATTTTATATACTTTACTAAATGAAATGCATTAGTATTTTCACAGACGCATAGATGATTCCAGGCCTTCATTACTGGTAATTTTAATAAAACCAGATCACACAGTCGGAGTGGTTCAACGTTT